AGTGCTTCCGGAAAGCTGGATCACAGCAAGCATACAGCAGAGGGTTTAAACAGCTGTTCACATAGCCCAGACAGATGGAGTATGGATGGGCCGCCACCAACCACTGGTCGAAACTGCAGGAAAAGGGAAGAATGCCCAGTTCCACCATAGCGGATAGTGTCTTATTGGTGTGGAAGGGAAGCCAGCAGAGGAAGAAGGCCAGCACAAGGGTGATGATGATCCGGAGGAGCCTGCGTTGGCGCGTATGATCAGGACGCGGGCCTAGGCTGAAGTGTCGGGAAAGAAGCCGCCCTAGCCAGCCATAGCAGAGCAGGAGCACTACAAGAGGTAACAGGAAGCCAAGCAGAGTTGATTTTAATCCTAAAGCTGCTGACCACATCAGCTCTGCCTGCTCAGAAGCTGCTGGGTTCAGCTCACTTGAGATCAAACTGGAGTAGTCCATGTCACACAAACAGGAGGACGCATGTCCATCCTGCCCATCGCCATCATCTCCCTCTTCCAAATCCACCTCCCTAACAGTCCGCAGAAGCAGAGCAGGAAGTGCCAGGATTCCAGCTGCCAGCCAAACACTACCCACAATCCACTTGGCGCGTGTGGTTGACCGTCCCTGCTTTGAGCCGTTGCCACGCTTTCGTGTGATGACGCAGTAACGCTCCACGCTGAGCCCAGTCAGAGAAAACACGCTCGCATACATGTTCAGTGCCACAATGTAACTGCTCACCTGACACAGAACTTGGCCAAAGGGCCAGTGGTAGCCCAGCGCTGTGTATGCCGCCCACAACGGCAGGGTCATGACAAAGCTTACAATCCTCCCACAGCCTCTCACTCGGCGGTCCAGGTACACCCATAGCACCAAGCCGTTACCCAGGGAGCCCACGACAAACACCAGGAGGTACACGCTTGGAATCAGCACCCAGGTTGCAGACCATTCTCTGTAGTCGCATGAGGGAAAGGGAGAGGGTGAAGGGAAGGGCAGAGACCCGGACATCTGAGAGCCACACACTTGCACCTAGTGTAGAAAGCAAGTGGATGACATGAGCAGGAAAGAGAACTGAGAGTTTCTTTTTAAGGGCTTGAGAGGGGAAGAATGGTTTGGAAAAAGAAACGCTTTTTTATAAACTGATGATGGGAGCACTTGTCTTTCCCCTGGATTCTTGTTTGTTCTATTTTTAGATGGTTCCCACGAATTAGTTGAAAGAGTCAGTGACTTCCTTCCTCCTCAATCCTCTTCAGTTTCTGTGGGATATCACTGACAGACAAAAGAAAAAAAAAGGTTATTGGAAGCTGTGAATTAAAAAACAGATGAGAAAGGACTTCTCATATAATTTCTGGTTATGTCACATACATTCTCAACCCGTAAATAACCATCGTATACACTGCCTGGCCAAAAAAAAAGTTGCACATGCTAATATTTTGCTGGATCACCTTCAGCTTTGATAACGTGGTGCATTTGTTTTGGCATTGTTACAACAATGAAAATGATTCTCTTTCAAAATTTGAGACTGATGAATCTTGGCATTGTCATCTTGGAATATGGCCATGGGATACTTCTTCCAACGTGATTGTTTAACAAATAAAAAGATAAAAGATAAAATCAGATAGTGCTAAAAGAGCTTTTGCCAAACATATAACATGCCAGAAGCATAATCAATGCAATAATGATCCAATCACTCCTAAGTATTTGCTTATTTAAATACAAACAGGGATTTTTTGTTTTCTTTTTTTTGCCAGGCAGAGTATGTTATACTTGTATAACAGTATGGACATAACTAATTCACGTCAGTAAATACACTTCCTAATTCTGCAATAAAAAAATGTTGCATCTCATTCGCCTTTTGTTGTTGTTGTGTACTAATCTAGTGATGCACATACATGTACAGGAAAAACTAATAAAATCTATCCCACAAGAGCAATGCTTCTCTATCACACCTCAGGTAGACATACAACATGAAACAAAGCATCTCATACCTGTTTTTCGTAAGAGTTAGCCTCTGCTTCTGTTAATAACTGTGCCCAGTTCCCTCTTCTGTGTGATTAGTCTCTGTCTGTTTTCAGATTATCTTTTTAAAAGAAGGACAAAAGTTACTCTGTATCCATGGTTTTCTCTTGATCTCTCTCAACGTCTTCCCTCTCCCAGAATCAAATGCTTTTTTTGTGTCTCACCTACTGAGAAGTGACTCTTTAAATACCCTCTCCTGTTTGTGTCCATTCCCTTTTTCTGTTCTGTCCTCCTCCTTTCTCATAGGACCACCCTGTAGC